TGTGTCCTGCGCGCTCATATGACCTTATGCAGTTGCGAGCGCCGTAAAACACTTTACAAAAACAAAAACAAACATGCACACACATATATACACACACTTGCACGTACGTACACACACACACAAACACACACACATGCACGCACAGCGAAAGAGAGAGAGAGACAAAGACAAACAGACAGACAGACTGAGAGAGTGAGTGAGAGAGAGAGAGAGACAGAGAGAGAGACAGAGAGAGGAGAGAGAGGCGGGGGGGTGGACACAGAGAGAAAGACAGAAAGTGAAAGACGGAGAGAGAACGACAGAAAGAGCAATATAAAGAAAGACAGAGAGAGAGAAAGCAGCGGAGAATAGGCAGGAGAGACGAAGAGTTCACACATAATTAATAAATGGAATACTTGAAATAAAGGCTCCAGGTTCCATTATAAATCTTTGTAAAGTATTCTCCCAAAAGTCATTTCCTCAGTCATTTCCCTTCATCTCCAGCCCTTGCTCCATGAGTCTCATCAACCGGTCGTTTTTGCCTTAAAGTTTTTTTTAAGACACAACATTACCTCACAAGTAACATGTTTAAGACTCAAAAGAGACAAAACACAGTTGATTTTGAAGGTAGAACACTCGGTCACAATACTAGAGGAGACTTCTTCTGGAGTCTTCTGGATGGGGGCCTCGCAGACCCCAACAGGTATACTTCAGGTATTTTCGACAAAACTTTTGGTTCGATATTATTTTCCTCACAGGTATTCTTCAAACACCCTCTGATAAGCATGAATACGGTCTATGAAGTTATTTGGATAATTTGGAAGACAGTGATGACTATTTTCCTAGGACAACCCCCCAGACCCCAAGGCATTTTTACTGTAATAGGAAAGGCAGTTCTCCTCTTGTCAAGTATGTACCGAATGGCAGCTTCGATGAGGAGACCGGGAAAACAGAAATCAACATCTTTTACAACAAAACAAAGGGCAGTGTGGACTCTCTGGATCAGATGGTCCATGCATACATGTCAAAGAGGAAGACCGTGAGACGGCATCTGACCTTCTTCTTCAATCTGTTGGATGTTGCAGCTATTGCTGCTTATATCTGCTTCACTGCTCAAAATCCCCAGTGGAATATCCGCAAGAAACACAGGAGAAAAATCTTCCTCAAGATGTTGGGTGATGAGCTCTGCTTGCCATCAATACAATGCCGGGCTGCCACTGAGAACATTCCTAAGTCAGCTCGTATGAGCATGCTTCTCTGTGGTGTCACACCACTTACCCAAACCCAAGAAGCAAGAACACTGGTCACTGAACATGGGCAAAGAAAGAGAAAACGCTGTGGACTTTATCAGAGAAACAAGGACAGAATATCTTGTGAAATATCAGTTTGTGGGGAACACTCTGTTTCCAAGCACGTTTGTCTTCACTGTCAGTAGACACTCATATTCCGAGCACTGGTCTTCGATGCCAGTACTGGTACCAAGTTACTATACTTACCACACTATTTTGGCATCATCCTAATTATCATTTACCGTAATTAAGTCTTCTTGGGCATTTTCATGAGATTCATTTTTAACTGAAAAACTACCACATCATCATTTAAATTCAATCTCATTATTCAGCAATAAAAACAGCATGCTCATGACATGACCGACCCACAATCATTAGGAAAGAAAGTGCCAGAATTGCATCGATTTCTTCAGTCTAACCTCATTCAAAGTTGTTCACCAACTAATATATGATATATAAAGTTCAATAAATGTGTTCGTTAAACAGATTATTTCTGTATGTGTAGTCTTGGGTGTTTTGTTTCAACGTTTCTGTGTTTAAATTTCTGTAAATGATGATCAACCACCAAGTTTATCCATAAAATACAAAGGATAAATAGTGGGGTCTGAGAGGCCCCCTTACAGGCTTCTAGGGAAATCGGACCATCCAGAAGACTAGGGTTAAGAAGTAAGTAACAACAACCCGAAATAACTGCTTGAGTAAGGGAAACAATTACCTTAAAAAAAGTCTCGTTAAACAACAGTAAACAGAAAAACAGAAAAGCCGCTTAATAAGTGAAAGACAAATCTAGCAAAACTTTTAAATGTCGAAATATTAGGAAATGTTTCAAACATTAGTAAGCCCGTAGAAAGCACATTCTTCAAAATGAACAAAAGGACAGACAGAAAATATTCTAAGCAAAACCTTAATATAATATACTTGTTAGTACAAGGACTATATAAACGAATCGAGATACTTAAGAAATGAATACGACATGTAAGGTGGTCCCTTGTCACTTCACTTCACATCACTATGTCGAATTTCTGCTAGTTCATTAAATTGGGGTGATAATTTAAAAATATCAATGAACAAAAAATTAAATAATAATAATGGCTAATAATGCTAGGATCGAATGGTGACACCTAGGAATTATGTAATACTGAATACATGTAAAATAATTATTAAATAATAAGCACGTTTGCGGTTGGTATCGAATCTTTCAGATAATAATGGATAATAATATTGAAAGTATCGAGTAGTTATTACAGTTGAGTTTCAATAAATAAAGAGCGAAATCAAATAAAATGACAAACCTAATGTGATATCGAATATCGCATATATTGATTATGAAGTGGCAAAGTATCAAATTAAATAAAGACAGCTTGGGAGACCGAATGACTAGGCAAATGTGGTATCGAATGCTAACCGGACAAAGGTGGTATCGAATGCTAACCGGACAAAGGTGGTATCGAATGCTAACCGGACAAAGGTGGTATCAATAAAAGGCCGGAAAGGCTCATTATTGCTCATTATTGAATAATGAGCTAAAATGAACTTTAAAAATTGTCGAGTAATGACAGATAGCATTGTATCAACAAATAATGATCTGGCAAGATATCAAAAATCACAAGGGAAGACCGGTATGTACTTATGACAGGTAGGTATCGAATAATAACGTACTATTGACAGAGATATCGAATTATAAAAGGAAAGAAGATATCGAATAATGACAGGAAGGGTTGTATTGATTAATAAGGTATCAACATACACTAGGGTTGGAGGTATCGAATATCATTATCGAATATCATTGGGTTAGGGGTTCGTTAGGGGTTCGTGGTTCGTTAGGGGTCTGTGGTTCGTTAGGGGTCCGTGGTTCGTTAGGGGTTAGGGGTTCGTTAGAGGTTCGTTAGGAATCCGTGGTTGGTTAGGGGTACGTGGTTGGTTAGGGGTTCGTTAGGAATCCGTGGTTCGTTAGAGGTACGTGGTTCGTATAGGGTTCGCGGTTCGTTAGGGATGCGCGGTTTGTTAGGAACCCGTGGTTCGTTAGGTGTTAGGGGTTCGTTAGGAATCCGTGGTTGGTTAGGGGTTCGTTAGGAATCCGTGGTTCGTTAGAGGTACGTGGTTCGTATAGGGTTCGCGGTTCGTTAGGGATGCGCGGTTTGTTAGGAACCCGTGGTTCGTTAGGTGTTAGGGGTTCGTTAGGAATCCGTGGTTGGTTAGGGGTTCGTTAGGAATCCGTGGTTCGTTAGAGGTA